CCCCAAAACCCCAAAACCCCAAAACCCCAAAACCCCTTAAATATTTTAGATTGCTGAATACTGATAAATTAACTAGTTGCCTGCAGGAGCATCGACTTCCATGTTGTGTTGTTCATCTTCACCCTTTTTCCTTTCTTCCTCTATTAGTTTCTTTTCTTCTTCGTCATAGTAGATCTCTCTTGCCATTTCCCAAACCTGAATAATATTGTCTTCAGCCACAGAAGCTAGCATTAATTTTTCATTTTTATTCCAGTCAAGACCAGAGACTTTACTAGTATGGCCACCATGCATGAACAAAAGTTCTGGAGGACCGTCTTTCTTCTCCTCTTCGGTTTGAGGAGCATCTATTCTAGAGATGTCCCATATGATGATTCTTCTGTCAGTACTTCCAGATGCAAAAAGCCCGCTTTGGAGAGGAGAGAACTGGATTCACCCAACCTCGTCTTTATGGCCTTGGAATGTATGAACTGTCTCTCCCAGATTTCTCATATCCCACAATTTTACTGATTTATCAGCGGATGAAGTGATAAGTAAGTTCTCATCAAATGGAGAGAAATCAAGTGCTAGAATTTCTTCTGTATGTGCCTCAACAAGAGAGAAGGAATCCTTGTTGGCGCTCCTAAGGTCCCAAATTCTGAGTCTTCTATCATCAGAGACAGAGCCAAACCAGTTTTCATTATGTTTATGCCATTTGACATCCTCCACCACTGATTCGTGTCCCTCAAATTTATGCAGGTATTCCAGTTCGGATCCATCAAGCTCTTTAGAGTTGATATCCCAGACAAGGATGTTGTTGTCGTCAGCGCCACTCAAGAGAAGTCCTTTGGATTTCTCATTCCAGTCAATACCATATCCCTCCTTATCATGTCCTTTCAACACGAGTTGAGGCTTCTCTTCTCTATCCACTGGAATATTTGGGTGTTTATAGTAATCAAAAATGTTGATGTTTCCGGTAACAGTCTTTGTAGCGATGATATTAGGTTCTTGTGGCATGTATCTAGCTCTATTGATCTCCCCATTATGATTGATTTTAAGCTCAGTCTCAATACGGTTTCTTTCAGAGCCTTGTCCGATACCATTAGCATCATTCCCATTGTCTTCATACTCAGCATTGCTTTGTCTTGCTTCATCAGTAGGGAGCTTCGCTTTCATTACCTGTACGAAGTTCTGTTCATCATTAGAGGTATGGGTCCCTATCAGGAGCTTTTGTAGTGAAAAGTCCGAATTTTGCGCTACATCCCTACTTGGGAACCATTGGACTGTCAGAGAGGGCCAAGTTAGGCAATGGGAGTACAGAGTATCGTACAAGAATGGGCTATTCTTCTTCCATATTTTGTACTCTTCATTGATCATTTGCTCCTCATAATGCTCTTGCTGGAAGTCGTTCTCGGCTAAATTCATTTCTATTGAGTTTTTGCAAAAATATTTAAATCAATATGGATCAAATCTTTCGGGGTTTTGGGGTTTTGGGGTTTTGGGGTTTTGGGGTTTTGGGG